CCTGCCTGAGCAGCCCCAGTCTCCTCCCACAGGAGCCTTCATCCAGCATGGAGTTCTTGGCTCTGCTCCTCTGCCTGGTGGCAGCGCCCTGCTGTGAGTGTCTCTGAGTCTCAGGAGAGGGACCTGGGCACAGGGTGTCGGGTGTGTTGATTGATGCTGATGCTTCTTGTCCTCAGGTGTCCTGTCCCAGGTGCAGCTGCAGGAGTCAGGACCTGGCCTGGTGAAGCCTTCAGAGACCCTGTCCCTCACTTGTGCCGTCTCTGGATTCTCTTTAACCAGTGATGCTGTCAGCTGGTTCCGTCAGGCTCCAGGGAAGGGGCTGGAGTGGATTGGTATCATATGGAGAGGTGGAGGCACAAATTATAACTCAGCCCTTCAGTCCCGAGTGGGCATCAGCAGGGACACTTCCAAGAGCCAAGTTTCACTAACACTGAGCAGCCTGAGAACCGAGGACACGGCCGTGTATTACTGTGCAGGAGACACAGTGAGGGGACGTCAGTGAGAGCCCAGACACAATCCTCCCTGCAGGGGCGCTCAGGACAGCAGGGGGCGCACAGCACACACTGAGCTCCTGTCCGACCAAGGACCAGGTGCAGTTTCCAGGGACAGCTTTGCTGTTAGAGGCTGTGGTCTTCTTTTCCTGTCTCCAAATTTGTTAAGACACTCTGCAGGGTTTAGCTTCTAGAAGCTTTGTTTTTACTTGTTAATTCAATTTCTTTTTAGGAGTCCATGTCTGCAGTACAGGTAGTTTACATTCTTCCTAGGGAGTGGGTACACATATACAACACAGCTCGATTCTCTTTTCACTCCCCTCCCTCTTCCCCTGTGCCTCTCTTCCCCTCCTCTGAATCTCATTGTCCCATTTTCACTCATGTTGATATTATTGATCTATAACATGATTACGATATACGATGTTTACATTCATTTAGATCTATTTGGTTCATGGACATCACATATCTATATCCTACTTATTTTCCCTTCCTGTCTCCCTCTTTTTTCACTGATGTTCTCTTGGTCTCTTCCCCTTTGTGAGAGACCCATCCTTCTGTCTTCTCCTAGTCATCCTTTATTGTACTGTTTGTACTTTGCCTGATTCAGATTAGAAGTGGTATTTGATATTGAAGCTTGCAAGACTGATTTATTTTACTCCATATTATATTGTCAAGGTTCATCCATTTACCTACAAAGTCTATGATCTGTCCTTCTTTATAGCTCAGTAGCATTCCACGAAGTACAGACAGCACCTCTGACATCCTCTGATGGATGTATAGGGAGTTGCCAGGATTTAGCTGTTTGGAATTGTGCTGCTCTAAGCATTGGTACACACGTATCACTGTAGTACGATGTGTTTAGCTCTCTGTGGAAGATCCCTGGAAGGATGATAGCTGGGTGACATATCATTTCTAACTTTACCTGTTTGATGAATTTCCATACTGAGTTCTACATGGGTTGTAGTAGTTCATATTCTCAACAAAAACGTAAGCACGTCCCTCTTTGACTGTCGAAACTCCAGTATATTTCATTTGTGCACTTGTTGCTGACTGTCCTTTCCTGTGTAGGATGGAATCTTAGCATTGTATTTATTTGCATTTCTCTAAAGGCCCAGAATGTGGGATGTTCAGCATTTTCCACATATTTGTTGGCAACTTATGATTCTTCTCCTGAGAACTCCCTGTGCATTTCACAGCTGCACAACTTAGGAAATGACCAAATACATTTCTTACATACATGCATAAATATCAGAAAACTGATGAGGTTAGGCATTCATCAAAACTCATGCACATAGTGAGAAGCCATATATTCCTTATTATGAGTATGACAAAATATCTCCCAGAAAACTCTCCTGTGCTCTAGACCCATCCGTAGCTGAAGCTCCCTAAGAGAGCTGCCTATATAGCAGGAGGCCATGCAAATAGGGCCTCATGCTGCTGATGAAAACCAGCCCAGCCCAGCCCTGACTCCGCAGCTCTGCAGAGGAGTCCAGCCCTAGATGCCCACCTGTTCCCACTCGGTGATCAGCATTGAGAACAGACGGCTCACCATGGAGCTTGCACTGAGCTGGGTTTTCCTTCTTGCTCTTCTGCAAGACGATTTATGAACAAGAAATACTGAGGCTGTGAGTGGACATGAGTGGCATAAACAGTGGACATGTGTGACAGTTTCCTGAGCAGGATGTCTCTGTGTTTGCAGGTGTCCGGTGTGAAGTGCGGCTGGTGGAGTCTGGCGGAGGCTTGGTGCAGCCTGGGAGGTCCCTGGGACTCTCCTGTGCAGCCTCTGGATTCACCTTCAGTAACGCTGGATGAGCTGGGTCTGCCAGGCTCCAGGGAAGGGGCTGGAGTGGGTCTCAAGCACTAATTATAGTGCTGGTAGCACTTACTACCCAGACTCTGTGAAGGGCCGAATCACC